CGCGCGGCCCCTTCCCAATTCGAAACCCAGAATATGATTTAAAGAGGCCATCGACAACGGTAGGTCTGTTATTGGGCTTATCTATTGGGGGTACCTTAGTGAGGGCCATTTACTACTTTGTGAATCATTTTGGGCCTGCTTGTGGCTGACTCAGTAGTGGACCCAGATGATGTAGGTCTGTGTTTATGCCGCTCTTTTTTACAGCCCAGAGATGTTCTCATTTCGAATTTTTCCAGATAAAAAATCATTTTTCAATTTTCAAATATACTATCTTCCCATTTCCCGCATGTTTAGTTAAATACGTAGAACATAACGACTCAGTTGCAAGTTAATTACATCACCTATTTTATTTTTGGCCTGAGCATATATACATCACTGGATTTAATTACATTATGTTGGTCATTTTCACTATATTTTTATAAAATTTACAGAAGTAGATCACAAAAAATCCGCGAAGCTCCCCACTTCCCTATATATTTTGCGGTTTCATTGGCATGTTATTATACGTTTTTAAATTAAAAAGGTAAGGAATTAATTTATATACATAGGTCATGCTCCCTAAATTTTGCTTCCAGTCTTGACATGCCTGCTTGGCTAATTTATGTAGATTTTCATTAATGCACATCATGTTTGTTTCAATCGTGCAAGGTTAGCCGGAAGCTTCCAAGTTCCAAATTAGGCATTCTCCAAATGAAAACATAAGAGAATTTTCCTTGCTTTTCTTTGGGCAGCAAATATAGAATTTTCCTTTTGCATTTATTTAATAATGAAGATCAATTTCCATCGATTTCAGCAATGTTTAAGAATTGGAAATTTATTTTTTCAAGCCTCAAGAAATTTGTCAGTAAAATTTCAATAATATCCATCTCCTTAATTTCTGAACAAAAATCGCCCATATATATTCCGAGCATATTTTCTGTAGAAGATAATAATTAGAAAGCTCATAAGAAAATCATCAACCACAAATTAGTTTCCAAAACCTGATCATCCATACCCTTCAATTTACTATAACTATGCATAAGATGAACCGAACTGACGATATTTATTGCCACATATATTTTATTTCATAAATCTTCAGACATAAGAAACCATGGAAAAGGTTTCCTACAAGCTAGCTCTCCTGCTTGCCCTTCTTGCTGCAACTGCGTGTCTTGGTAATGTCATATCACTCGCTTAGTTTCTCTTTTATATATGGTTAATATGATCTTTTAACTTACTAAAATTTTATCTCATTTTAATTTTGACTCCTCAAATTTGACACAAGTGATTTTAATCTTGAAATTTGCACGTAAGGATTTTTGGCCCCTAATACAATGTTTTTGGTTTGCCTAATACCACTCGGACGAAAGATGGTACGAAACCAAGTGTGTTTATGTATAGTTATGATTTAATAAATTTAATTTAATTATTTTTGGGGAAATGAATGGGCAGGGCTTTCGACAGGAGAAGGAAATAATAATAATAATAATAATAATAATGGAGAAGGCATTGGTGGAGTTTTAGCAGAGAAATGCACAGGGGCTGGCGATTGCGGGACATTTAATACCGTGTCAATTGCCTTGTACTAATGTTGCGTGCAGAGGTGGCAAGTGTGTTTGTACTTGCACCCAAACCAAAATATAATTAATTGCAACTTCATCATCTATTTCAAGTGTTATTGCCAATCTATTTGTGCCTGCCTTGGCACCTAAATAAAACTACCAGTTCAATCCAATAAAATCTTTGCTTCTCTCTCTCTATATATATACAATTTTTTTTTGGTAAGTGTGTGTATGTATGATTGTTAATTTGTGAGACTTGGATTTGAATCATGTTTTGACTCATTTTAATGTTAAATAACTTTGTTTACACCAAGTAATCGTTACTAGTCTCAATGATGTAATAACCTTCATTTTTTCCGGATTTAAGGCTATGTTTGGATTTATTAGAATTATAGAAATGACATACATGCCACTGTCTTTGGTCCTAATTACAAGAGTTAGTTGACTAATTTGAGGAGATTAAGAAAATAAGTTAAGTTAGTTATTTGTAATAACTATGTGTTATCTTTCCTAAGATATCTTTACTAATCAAGTATATTGGCTAAAACCATTATTGTTAGAATGACTACTTTGAAAAAAAATGTATAAATATGAGAAACAAAGTGGATTAGGATCTTATATTTAAGATCAAAATAAAAATAAAATAAAATCTTATATTAAAAACCGGAAGTAATATCATATGAATGCCGTCCGCACAAGGTAGTGAAGTGCCCTCGTGGCAAGCCCTGTCACAGTGAATGAACGCATTCACCCACGTTAAGATTTCAAAAACTAATTACTATTATTTCCGATCCTCAATACAAAATCTCATTTGACTTTTATTTTTTATTTATTTATTTATTTATTTTAAGATAATTCTTATAATAATAGTTCTAGTCAATACACGTGATTAATAAGGACACTTTAAGAAAAACAATACCTGTTTATTATAAATAACTAACTTAAATAATTTCGAGCTAGTTGACTAATTTGAGGATATTAAAAAATTAGTTAAGTGGGTTGTTTATAATAAATAGGTGGTCTCTCCAAAAATATCTTTGCTAATCATGTGTATTAGCTAGAATTACTATTTAATAATACCTTTAACATCTGCAACTGCTACAAGAATTACTTTGAGAAATAATAAATAAATATAATAGATAAAGTAGATTAGAATTTTATATTTATAACCAAATTGAATATCAAACTACCTCTTATATTATAGATCGAATGTAATATAATGTAGTATTAATATTCCTTTAACATGTCATTAAAGCTATGTTTTGGTCTTCATGCATACGCATGCAATCACCGAATCACGAGTTCAATCAACTCGCTGGTTCTGAGTTGTTCACAGAACATTCATTGGTGTCTTCTTATTTCTTGTCAGTTAATTTTAAAAAGATCAATATGAAATTTACATATGTGTGAATTTTGTCGCCAAAAAATAATTGGAATTTAATTAAGAATTGGTTTATTTGGTTTTCACTCGCTAATGACTTGTGTAATAATTAGTCCCCGTCAGATAACGAAGCCAACGAAAATAAATTATAATAAGCGCAGCAAAATATAAATCCTATCCTTCATCCCAATGGCAAATTGGCAATCGTTTTAACCATTGATGCTTAAACTGTTAACACGTCAAAATACTACATATTATTACTAAAATTAATTCCTCAGATAATGAGAGGATTTTGATATTACCTTGATCTTTAATACGAGAGTTAATTAACTAATTTAAATATATTAAAGAAGTTTACTAAGTTAGCTATTTATATTCTCTAAAATACTCTTGCCAATCATGAGCATTAGTCAGACCCACCATTTGATTAAACATTTAACATGTATAGTTATTATAAGAATTATTTTGAGAAAAAAGAATAAATATGAGAAATAAAATGAATCAGAATCTTATATTTAAGACAAATTAAAAGTCAAACTACTTCTTAACATTCTTAACGTCGTATCACATGTGATGCATATTTTTCCAATTCATTTTTTTATCAATAATAATCTCATCACATCGCATTTCATGAACTGAAACTTGTACACCAATATATTCAAATGAGTAAGTAGTGATATCTCTTGCGATACTCTGCAAATGAATATATAATGTTTGGAAGAAACTAAAGCGAATGTAATAACCGCCACAGAAATAAAAGAACATACACAGTTTAAATTACTTTTCTTAGCTAATATATATAATTTTCAGCTAGTGCAAAGCAGGAGAAATGCCCAGATGAGACGGATCTATTAGCTAGGAAGGAATTAAAGTTTCTGCAATTTTCCGCCAGTCCCACATCGGGAAATGTGAAGTGGGAGAGCGGAAGAGAGGGTATAAAATGAAGGGAACGGGCAATGTTACAACATACTTACCTGGACGGGGTCGATGGGTGATCATGAAGGCCCATGGCCTAGGCGTGTGACTTCCATTGCACTCCGGAGGGGCGCACGCCTAAGGTCTACCTAATAGGTGGAGCCTACGTCATAATTTGTGGTAGTGGGGGCCTGCGTTCGCGCGGCCCCTGCCCATTACAAAACTCAATGATTTTTTTCTGTTGGCACATTCAAATTTTTTGGGCCATCTTTTGTACGAGATTTTCAGCCCAAAGCGTGTCGGTCTGAGCTTGCGCTACACGTACGTTGTGGGCGGGGGAGGGTTTCTCATTTCGAATTTTTCCAGGTAATTCAAGAAGTTTAATGTACTTGGGGATAAAAATGAGAAAAATAAAAATATTATTTTGGATTTATATAAAATAACATTAAAAAAATCTGTTTATACAAATTAATTACTAATAATCTCTCAGAGATGTGTTGAGCACCTTTTTAGATTTCGCAAATTGTAAAAGCATTTTCCAATATTCAGTTATTCTGTTTCCATTTTCCAGCATGTTTAGTAGTCACTTACTTCAAATTTCTACATTACGTACTTACGTAGAACGTGATGACTTAGTGGCAACTTAATTACGCGCATCACTGATTCTGTTTATGTCTGAACATACATCACTGAATTTAATTGCATCATTTTGGTCATTTTTTTTCACGGTATTTTACAGAGTTTATAAAAAAAGATGGCTAAAAATCCAAGTATTTCCGCCCTTTCCTATTCTATGCCCATTTTTTTCCCCTCCTGATCAGATCCAATTTATTACTATGTTTTGCTATTAAAATTTATTTCTTTAAGGGTCAAGATTTGCAATTAAAATTTCAATAATATACATCTCCTTGATTTCTTAACAAACATTGGCATTAAGTATTTGAATGAATGTTCCGAAAATGTTTTCTCTACAAGATAACGATTAAGGAAGTTCAGATTAGAAATCATGAATCAAAAATCATTTTCCATAACCCTGGGCCAAAACATTTATTATCCATGCCTTTGAATTGAGTATAAATGTGAGTAAGACGAGCCGAACAGATCATACCGAAGGAAGCAGAGCCAGTAGTTCTGTTGGCACATACATCTCTTTTGTTTCTAATTCTGAGAAATAAGGAATCATGGAAAATACTTCTTACAAGCTAGCTCTCATGCTTGCCCTTCTTGCTGCATCTGCGTGTCTTGGTAAATATCATATCGCTCTCTTATATTACATCAAGTTCCTTATATATATATATTGCTAATTTAATGAGTTTATTTTTTTTTTTTGGGGAAAAATGAATGGTCAGGGGTTTCGAGAGTAGAAGGAAATAGTAAGAAGAATGGAGAAGGCATTGGTGGAATTTTAGCACAGAAGTGCAGCGTGTTTGGGGATTGCATCCATTTAGTGTGCCAAGAGCCTTGTATTCAAGTTGCGTGCTGGAATGGCGAGTGTGTTTGCACCTGTGGCCCTGCTGACCACCCCAAATTTCACCTCTCTTAATTTACTCTTTCTGCCTCCTGCCTTCTAATTAATAATTAACTGGCACCTAAATAAAGTACCATTTCTATCAAATAAAATCTTTGCTTCCTATTATTATCTCTCTCTCTCTATATAATTTGCATTTGCGAGACATTTTTAACCGTGCTTCCACTCATTTTCATGTTAGATAGATGACATTGTTTAACACAGTGATTATTACTGGCGTCAGTCATGTTATAATCTTCATTTTTTCCGATTTCCCAAGTTATAAAATCATGTTTTTACACAACCTAAAATTTATAGATTATTTGTACTGCTGGTAGATGAAAGCTACGTTTAGATTGGGCAAAAAAATAAGAGGAAAATAGCAGAGAACGAATACTAGCACGACACAGTCATACCTCACACGTGATTAGGACAACTTGATATGATAGATATCATCTTGTACACACACACACATAAAGCTAAGACATTCTGAATCGAAAAGCAAGAAGAAGCAAAACTTTCCAAGATTAATTTTCTTCACATCACCACAATTTTGCTACTTCCTTCAGGGTAGATTTCCTGGTTCTGCTTGTTGGTACGCATAACTGTCCCCGATCTCATTCCGTTCTGCTATATAGCACTCTCACTGTGAATGAATTCGCCCTCATTAACTCCAAACCTTTCTATATTATTGATTTGCCGTTAAAATGTCATTACAACCATGTTTTGGGTTGATGTGTACATATATTTAATTACGCGTTCCCCGAACTCGCCGGTTCTAATGGGTTGTTCACACAGGAACAGGATTCGTGTCTTTTCATTTCCTGCCAGTCATTTTAAGAAGATAAATATGAAATTTGCATGTATGTAGAATTCTTCACTAAAAAATAAGTGAAATATTATGATAATTCAAATGCAACTCATGAATTAAGTGGAAAAGATTTGGATTTGGTTTTCGCTCGCTAGTGACTTGAGAATTTTGCCCCTACCAGATGATGAAGCTAACGAAAATAAACCATAATAAACGCAACAAATAGTAATCCTATCCTTCATCCCAGCGGCAATCATTTTAACCTTTGATGCTTAAACTGTTAATATGTCAAAATACTACTGATTCCTCCAGTAGCAAGCAGGGGTACATAATTAGATGATGTTTGATATCACATATGATGCAATTCTTTTAAAACTTTCAATACATTTTTTTTCCCAATTATTAGGTATGCAATAATCTCACATTTCACGAACTGAAATTTGCTCTGCAATTTATTAAACTGTAAAAGTAGGGATATCTCTTGCCATACTTTCCAGAAGAATGGCGCGCAGTGTGAGCTGAAGGAATATGCCAATGTTTGGAAGAAAATAGAAGCACAAGTAATAACCAACACAAAAATAAAAGAACATGTACAGTTTTCACTACCTCCCTTAGCTTTATAAATGCCAATTTATTTTTATATTTGAGAAAGTGATAGTTAAATTCATGCAATTTTCGGCTAGTGCAACACCCTGTCCGCTAGCAAAGCAGGAGAAAATGACCGGATGCTAGGGATAGATTAACTAAGAGGGTGTTTGAACATTTGAACAAAATGCTTCTAAAAAATATTTTTCTGTAAATCAAAACAAACTTTTCACATATTAATTCATATAATATAAAATTACTTTTAAACTCATCATGTGTTTCCATCCAAGTACCTTTAGGTGCAGGAAGGAAGTCAGGCTGAATATATTGCATTACCGTAGTGAGAGTCCCACATTGGAAAGATGGAAAGCAGGAGAGAGGAAGAGAGAGTATAAAAGGAAGGGAAGGGGCACAATTGCAACATACTTACCTGGACGGGGTCAATGGGTGATCATGAAGGCCCATGGCCTAGGCCTGTGACCTCCATTGCACTACGGAGGGGCGCATGCCTAAGGTCTACCTAATTGGTGGAGCCTACGTCATAATTTGTGGCAGTGGGGGCCTGCGTTCGCGCGGCCCCTTCCCGATACAAAGTTCAATTATTGCTTGCGGGTACATTGGTCCATTTGAGGATGTTTCGGATCGGAAGTTTGCTTAAATGAGCTGGGTTTGTTTGTTTGTATTTTTTTCGTACTTTGTGCCCAACGTAACCCTTTGCGCCGTCCTTTTTGCTGCAGCTCGCAGATGTTCTCATTTCCATCTTTCCACATAACTTTAGAAGTTGGAGGCTGACCCAAGGTAATTCATTTATAATAATAATAATTATTTTCTATAAAAGTCGTGTACTTTCAAACAAAAAAATATTTTAACATAAGTATTTAATGTTGTCCTATATATTTTATGCATTTTATATTATTTCATAAAAACTAATTTTTACGTAATTTTTGATATATTAAGATTAAATCAAAACTCCCAGATTTTGAGATTGAATAATCTTGAACTATTCCCATGAAAAATATTAAATTACGTGCAAATCATTTTATTTTTAATTTTATTATTTTTTTGTTCTCCTTGTGATTATGACTTTCAAGTATCATTTTATCCAGTAACGAAATCTAGAATATGATGAATGGGGGCCAAATTGCAAACAAAACATCCAGTGAATAATATAATATTTACGTAGTTTTTTTGTGCCAGCAATATTTACGTAGTTTCTGAATTATTAAAATCTAATGCATCAATCAATTACACAAAAAATATAATTCATTAAATACCATGATTTATTTTCTAAGTAAGAAAATATTACCGAATCCAAATCTTTGTCCATAATTCACTTGCTACCATGTATTTAAGACGAAGCTCAAGTGAACAAGAAGCGCAAACAATTCTCTTGACACATATCTTCACAAATTCTCAGAACAAAGAAATTATGGCAAAAATTTCTTTCACATCAGCTCTCTTTCTTGTTCTCCTTGCCACATCTGCATTTTCCGGTGAATGTCATTTTCTTTTGGAGATGATAAACATGTTATATATGGATTTTGACCACCGTTTGTGGCTGAGCTTGTGTATAATATAAATTGTTATTAATTTTACATTTCATATTGATTGATATATTGATATGGATATTGTTGTTATATATTCTTTCAGTTTTAAATATAATACCCATTTTATAAAATAAGTCTTATATTTAGAACCGGATGCAGTTTTTTTTTCTGTTGGTTGTCAGTTAATCATGTAATATATCATATATTTTAAAAAACAAAACTGATGCTTGTATACTTCACAAGATTTGAAATAATTTGGGCAATTCACGGCTTCTTGTGAACATTGTGACTCTCTATATGTTTCCACATTTTAAATTTGATCATAGTTTGATGGCTACAATTAAACTTGATTAAACTTCACTAAAAGATACCAACAATTTACTGGCATGACATAATTTTATCTAAAATAAATGTGCGGGCTGAGACGGGCACTTGCCCACGCGAAAGGGAAAAATTCTATATGATACCCCTAGTAAAATCACTTCTAACGCCTCAATTTCTCAGCAAGAAAGTTTCACTCGTGCCTTAAAAAATTTATATTTTTTGCCATTTAAAAATTATCATCTCAAAATATGTGTATAATTTTCTCTTACATGAATTGTAAAAAAAAATTGGTAAAATTTATAAAGTATAATAATGATATATCTTGAATTTTTTTTTACTATTTCATAAAAGAAGATCATTTTTTTACTTCTTTGGCGATATTTTAAATTTGTCATAAAATAGACAGAGAAAAAAACTTCTTTGAGTGTTTATATTGAAAATTGGGAAATGACAAATAAAGACCCTTTGAATCACTAAAATTACACATAGGTCACTTGAAGAAGTAAAATTACCATGAAGGACCCAATCTCATATTGCAAATATGAAATCTTGACGAAATGTTTGAAATGTTTCTTAGTCAAGTTGTGATTTGATCTACTGAAATTGTTATTCGTTAAAGTAAGCTTGTTATTTCCCATAGTCAACTTATCATTTGGCATACCTTCAATCAAGTTGTAATTTGGTCTATTAAATTTGTCATTCGCTAAATGAATTTGTCATTTGGTTGAGGGACATTTCAAACATTTTATCAAGATTTCATATTTACAATATGAGATTGGATCCTTTATGGTAATTTTGCTTATTCAGGTGATCTCGATGTAATTTTGATAATCCAGGGTCTTTATTTGTGATTTTTTCTTAAAAATGTGATGAAAAAGAATTTCACCGGTACCATAACAAAGAAATAATTAAATTTATACAGTAAAAATAAAAGAGTACAAATTCTAATAGTTGATACTTATTTTAACCCTTTTACTATATATATATATATATATATATTGCTTACATTAAGCTAGTTTTATTCTTTTACATTGTTGCATGTGTGTTTTTTTTTTCAAAAAAAATATTTATATTAGGTGTGAATTGTGCTCCCCAGTAACTAATATCTTTTCGGTTCTAAATATAAAACTTATTTTATAATGTAAAATTAGTTTTGTACTACAAAATGAATCTTATATTTAGAACCGAAAGAGTAATACCATTGTGTGCAGCAATTTCACAACGTACTCAGATAGCGATTGTAGTCCGCCGGTGAGCGTATGTGACAATGGGAAGGCTGTGTGTTTGGATAGAATGTGCGTTTGTCTTGGAAATAACTCTCACCGTTTTGGGCAGAAGGCCACAACTACATCGGGGGAAAAAAAAAAAAACCTCTAAATCTAATTAATCCCAACTTAATTCCCTACCACGTAACAATGTTCTACAGAACCTTGAACTGCGTGATAAATAATAATTGGTGTTTAAACTTTGATCCCAATTAATATTTTAGCTTGATATTACTACCTTCGGTCCTAATTATAAAAGCTAGTTGACTAATTTAAGGAGATTAAGAAAATAAATTATGTTAGTTCTTTGTAATAAATATGTGTTATTTTTTCTAAAATATCTTTGTTAATCAAGTTTATTGGTTAGAATTACCATTATTAGATGGACTATCTTAAAAAAATGCATCAATATAAGAAATAAAATGGATTGGGGTTTTATAATTAGGAGTAAAATAAAAGCAAACGAGACTTATATTAAGACTTTACTTGATATTACTACCTTCGGTTCTAATTATAAAAGCTAGTTGGCTAATTTGAGGAGATTAAGAAAATAAATTATGTTAATTCTTTGTAATAAATATGTATTATTTTTTCTAAAATATCTTTGTTAATCAAGTTAATTGGTTAGAATTACCATTATTAGATGGACTATCTTAAAAAAATACATCAATATAAGAAATAAAATGGATTGGGGTTTTATAATTAGGAGTAAAATAAAAGGCAAACGAGACTTATATTAAGGACCAAAGGTAGTATATTGTTTTAGATCATTTCACACGTTTTCCAAATTTCTCCCACATCCCTTCAATTTTTATTTTTTATTTTTGCCAACGGGAAGGAAAATTTCATTATATGAAAAGAAATACAACCACTAACGCAGACTTTGAAAGACCAGAGACTGAACTAAAGACCAATAACATATAACTAGCAAAAGGACGACAAATATAGACTCAAACCAATAAGGCCAAAAGAAACCTACATCTTGAAGGATGAAGGTGAATAGGTCAGCTTTTATTCTGCCATGATCAAAAGAAAAAATATAGAACAAGCTTTGTTGAGCAGCAGAGGGTGATTGTTCAAAGACAAGCTCTAAAGAGCTCACTTTTTTTAGTGCCAAGGTTGCGAAACCAAATACAGCACCAAATATTCCTCCAAAAACAGAGAGGTAAAAAAACATCTTGAGATCGCGAACAACCTCAAGAGACGCACTGATCTTGGTAAAATACAGCCAATACCAACCTTCATTAACGATAGCAAACCACAAAGAAACGAAAAAACATAAACCAAAAGACTCCCACAAGCACAAAACAAGAAGAAAAGTGTACTCCTAATAACTAACAGGGGCAACCAAGACTCCATAAACTCTGCCGAAGGTCCCCCCAACCCTAGCAGAACCAGACAAAATCCCTCATGCAGCAAAGGGGTTGGAGGCCAACTACCAAGATTCATGAAAAGAGAAGCCAAGGAACTTTCCAGAACCACGGAGCTCCCTAAAAAACCTTCCTTTAATCCCATCTGTCCACCCAGGTGAACAAACTTCAACGCTCTAGCCAATCGACTTGAGATCTCAGTTGCCATAAGCTTTGCGTACAAACTTCCAGTACCATTGAATCGATCCACGATCACCATCCTCCTTTTGCCCCCACAAAACTTTAGGGATGAGCAAGCGAAACCCCCAAGTTGCCATCAGAAACCTCCACTATGGAGAGAAAATGAAGCCGCGGCTTCAACAAGCCTAGGAAAGGGAAGGATAGGGAGGACGGAGTCACTTTCTAGATCCCTTCAAATCTCTTGGTAGTCATTGAAATTTTGAAAACTTGTATATAATATTCCTAGTGAGATTTGTAAAATTCCTTGCCATGTCTTGAAAGTATTCTGACAATTCTCAGGTACTCAAGCTTCTGAAATGAAAGGTCAACCTCCATACTACCTTCCCTTAAGTACTAACCAACAAACATGCATCGACGTGTACTTATTATATTCGTAACAACAAGAAGCAGCCTTATTTGTGTATTCATTGATTTCTTGAAACAGATTATGCCTACAGATGGCTCATATAAAAGGAAATATGATCCTTTCCATTCCGCATAACACACCAAATAATTAAATATGGTTGAAATAAAATAGACAAAGAAAACTTATTTCATCAACAAGTGTCAGTCATAATAGAAGAGACTTTGTGTTGATCATATAAGCACAAAGTCTAGAGTTTAAGTTTGTGTAAATGTAAAAATGCTTTTGAGAAGCTATACCTAATTGGGCCCAACAATTCTATAAGAGGAAATTCATTTCATCTTAATTCACTGAAATTGTACTGCGATTTTTAAACTGTAAAAGAAGCGATATCTCTTGCGACACTTTCCAAGGGAATGGCGGCGTGAGCTGAAGGAATATGCCAGTGTCTGGGAAAAAAATAGAAGCACAAGTAAGCAATTTGCAGCTAGTGCAACACTGCGTCCGCTCACAAACAGGAGAAAATGACCAGATGATAGGATGGATTAACTAGGAAGGGAAGGGAGCCGGCGGATAGATAATATATCCCTCCCTCTCTCTCTCTACACACACACACATTCATCGACGTGGTGAGAGTCCCACATTGGAAAGATTGGAAGTGAGAGGGAGGGAGAGATAGTATAAATGGAAGGAAAGGGGCACAGTTGCAACATACTTACCTGGACGGGGTCAATGGGCGATCATCAAGGCCCATGGCCTAGGCGTGTGACCTCCATTGCACTTCGGAGGGGTGCAAGCCTAAGGTCTACCTAAGTGGTGGAGCCTACGTCATAATTTGTGGCAGTGGGGGCCTGCGTTTCGCGCGGCCCCTTCTCAATGCGAAGCCCCATTTTTTTTCCTTCTTGGAAGTTCACTCAAATATTGGTATTGTAAAATCGATTTAAGTATTTTGGGTTTACTCTTGCCCCCTAATCGGTGGCACAAATCATCCGTGCACGTTGTCCTTTTCCTAAGATGTTCTCATTTGTAATGTTTCCAGATGGATCTAGAAGTTGAAGGCCGGCCCAAAATAATTCTTTTGTACGACCAAAAAAAAATTCATTTAGAAATAAGCGAGAATAATGTTATAAATTTCATTATAAAACTAGTGAACATGAGAATAACATGATAAGATCCAAAGAAAACTTTTAAGAGAGGATAAATAGGGAGCCTTGTTTCTCATTTGCATTGAGTAATATATATGACAAGTATTAGGGACGGGTCTAAATACCAACGCATCAGTTACATCGTATCCATACCAACATAATGACGTGCATTTCTCAAAATCAAATATTCATTGTCCGTCTATTTTTTGTTGCAATTTGGCTCCGTTCATCATATCCTTGATTTCTTCAATGGATAGAGTGATGCATGGAAGTCATAATTAGATTCCTTGAATTTTAGGAGATCAGGAACATCCAGTGAATATGATAACATTTACGTAGTTTCCGAATTATTAAAAAAATCTAATGCATCGATCATTCACAACAACAACAAAATCCAATTCATTAAATACTATGATTTATCTCTTCAATTAGAAAATATTACCAATACCAAATCCAAATCTTTATCCATAATTCACTTGTATTTAAGAGATGAGCTCTAGTGAACAAGAAGACCAAACAATTCTCTTGACGTGGTGTCTTCACAAATTCTCAGATCAGAACAGAGAAATCATGGGAACATTTTCTTTCACATCAACTCTCTTTCTTGTTCTTCTTGCCACATCTGCCTTTTGCGGTAAATACCAATTTCCCTTGTAAATGCTAAACGCATATTATTATATAAATTGTGAGCATCGTTTGTGACTTAGCAGGTTGTGTATAATACAAACTGTTCTGAACTTTTCATTTTATATTGAATGATATATTCATAGAAATATTGAACCTGTTTGTTTACCTATTTTGAAAACAGTTTTTTGTTTTTAAAAACAACAGCATAAAAAATCTTGTTTGGCAAGTTATTTTTAGTCTACTGTTTTTAAAAATGAAAAATAAAAAATTTGTTTTGAAAAACTAAAAACAGAAGACAATTTTTTAATTTTTTGTTCTGAACTTCCTAATTTCTTGTTTCAAAAAATGGGGCACGGCCTTTCTTCTTGATCGAACACTTTTCTTTGCTTGACGGCTTGAAGATTCATCCTTCAGTGTTCATGGCCCGTTCTCTAGTCTCAGTGCTCGCCATCTCCTCACTTCATTGATGTCCCCAGCACCCTCGTATCCTTACTCCTCTTTCCCTCATTGCTGCTTCCTCACTCCCCCAACATTTCTAGTCCCCAATCTCTCCTTCCTCCCTTTTCAATCCTCAATTGGTGAGGCCTCAATCTATACTCTCTCTCCCTTTGACTGATTAATTTAGCTGATTTTTCAACTGAAATTTAATTTGTACCATTTAGTGGGTCTTCGTGTATACAATTTAGTGGGCAAGGGCAGCGGCTTTGGTGGTTCCATTTGATAGAACTACGAAGTTATGCAAAAAAGAGAGGCTTTCTTTACTTTGAGTTCAATTCAGGTATGGTACCATGCTTCTTCCGAAACGTTGAAAACTTCCTTTAACGTTGCTCTCCTCTGTCTTGGTCCTTTTATGAATGATAGTTCGATGTGCCCTGTTGTTTTATCTAATTAGTATATTATTCATTTCGTTAAAATGTTGTACTTAGAGATTAAACTTGAATGTCGCTTTTTATTACTTGCTCAGGTGGGGCTTGGACATGAAGGAGCTCATCTTCATGGGAGAGAGTTTTGAAATTGGCTCTTGAAAATGATGGATTTATTCATAGTTGACTGGTATATATGTATGCGAATAGTGGGCTCTTGAGTGAAGCGAGGAGAGTGTTTGATGGTCTCTTTGAATTTGATGTTATAATTTGGAACTCATTGATCATAGGTCTTTCTAAATGCAGGGAAATTGAAGAGGCCAAGAACCTGTTTGATGAAATGCTTACAAGAGCTCCTGTCACATGGAATTCTATGATTAGCGGGTCTGTAAGAAACAGGAAACTAATGGAGACATTATTAGAGCTTTTTCACAGGATGCAGGAAGAAGGGGTTGAGCCTCGTGAGTTTATAATGGTAAGCTTGTTGAATGCTTGTGCTCATGGGCTTACTTCAACAAGGGAAATGGATTCATGATTGTATAAGAATGACTTTGAGTTTAACGTTAATGTTTTGACAGCAATAATTGACATATATTGCTAATGTGGATCTATTGAAAATGCTCTCTCCAAATGTTTGAGGAGTGTCCTAGGAAAGGGTTATCATGTTGGCAGGAGCTCCATTATTATAGGGCTAGCCATGAATGGTCTTGAAAGAGAAGCAGTTGAGTTCTTCTTTGAACTTGAATCTTCCTCAAGTTTAAAGCCAGATTACGTAAGTTCCGTCGGTGTGTTTGACAACTTGTAAACATCTAGGCAAAGTTGATAAAGCTAGGGACTATTTAATGATGGATAAATATACGATCTACTAACAATTTACCAGTACTATGACACAATTTATGTGCTTTTATTTTTAGCTGTAGAATGATTGTGCAGGCATTTCAATTGGGCAAGAATTTCCATGCTTCCTTTTTTTGTCCACAAGGTACATGTATCCTCTTATGAAACATAATCATGTTCGAAACATTGTCAAACATTAAATGTATTCACATTTTTTAGGGGAGAAGAATGTCTCCACTAACTTCTCTTTTCACTTAATTTCTCCATCATTAGATTAACTTCTAGTGGCTGAGATTTAAAATTGGGTAAAAATATTATTATAATATTAAATATAATAAAAATTTATGATATTAAACTACTTATATCAAATTTTAACCCTTAACAATATAAATTTATTTATATACTCCTCCGATCCTTAATATAAGACCCATTTAACTAATTTGATTAGATTAAGAAAGTTAGGTAAGTTAGTTAATTATAAGAAATATGACATGTTTTTCCTAAAATACCATAATCATCTTTCTTAATACCTTCTCTCCCTCTTCTACTTGACTATGGTTGAGGGAGTATCTATAGGGGTAATTTAGAGAAAATTGATAAATATGAGAAATGGTTCTTATATTTAGAACCAAAACCAACTCAACAATTGGGTCCTACATTAAACCGGAGGAGTATTTTTTATTAGTTAATATTTAATATTTTAATAATTTCCTTATAAAATAAATCATAACCGTTGAAGTTTGATCCAATGATGGAAACATTAAGTGGAAAGAGGAACTAGTGGAGGCATTCCTCTTCCATTTCTTAATGGGGATTCAAATCTTAGTTAACCGTGGTGTGAGAGACTAGTCATTTCTGTAAAACCCAATCCCTATTAATTCCATACTTATTTTCTCAAGTACTAACCAACAAGCATGCACCAACGTGTAATTTATTAATCAAAACAAGCACTTTCTTGTAGTTTTGTTTTTTTGCGAATGAATTTCAAGCGGCCAGAGTAATGGGTTCACAACCGTCCTGAACACAGGCCAAGACATCCCTATAGTCCCTTGAGATTGTGAAGGAATCATAGACCTTCCCATCACTGCTCTTCTTGTACTCAAACAGAAGAGTTGAGTGATTAAACGCTGTCATTTTAACAAAACCAAAGTCAGAATCTCTGAAAATACTCCACCCAGGCTTCCCTGCTCCGAACTCTGACAAGTGGCTCCCTCCACCACCCACCACCACATGGATTGTTCCATTTACTATTCCTGAATAGTGATGCTTCTCTGAGTTAACACACTGACTCTGCATTACATATTAGGAAAATATCAATAAAAGCTCAAAAAGCAGTGTAGATATCCATGGATTTTACCACCTGTAACACTCATTTTAGTGTGTCTTCATTGATTTCTTGAAACAGATTATGCCTATAGATCACTCATATAAAAGGAAATATGATCCTTTCCATTCCATATAACACACCAAATACAATTGAAGAGAAATAGACATAAAGAAAACTTATTTCACTAACAGGTGTTGATCCTGGTAGAAAGGACTTTGGTCACTTAAATATGAAATCTCAAATTTGAGTTTTTGTAAATGTAAAAAGCGTTTTTATAAAATTATATCTAATTAGACCTAATAATTCTCAAATTTAACCCAATCAGATAGTCATATATATATATATATAAAAGAAAACTCATTTCATCTTAATTCACCATTTGCATGTCATTTCCTCTTCAACTGCCACTAAATGAACAAGAGTGTGGATAAAAGCCCCGGAAAACCCTTATACAATGTATTAATTTACGACGTATATTGTGACTGCAAGCAAAATACGAGAGACACGAAACTCTCTTTATCAAAGGGTACCTGATAAATGGGGCAAGTTCTTTCGTAGTTGTGGATGTGACCATAAAATGCAATGTCTACTTTATATTTCTGCCAGAGCTTTTGTAAGCTATCTCTTCCCATAGGTTCTCCAGAGTAACCTTGGTCCAAGTAAGCAGAGGAATAACCAAGAACACGATGAGCAACAAAAATCAACCATGGCTGTTTCTGTCTGTCTGCTGATGCAAGGCAATTCTCAATGAACTTGTACTGAGCACTTCCCTCCCTCCAATCATGTTCACTGTCTGCTATACAGAAGTGGAACATTCCAAAATCTGTCCCATACCTGCGAAAAAGCAATACATAGTATTCAGCTAAAACAATTCATTGCCACTCTTTATAGAAAACTATGTTGATGCAAATAAGAACAAAGTTGAAAATAAATGAACCATTCTTGTTTTTTATTTCAAGAACTGATATTCCCAGAATCACGTCTAATGTTTACCAGAATTTAGCTCGGTTTTCAGCTGGAACATAAAACATGGTCTCAGCTAGTACACCACACTCTCCACCTGAATCATTCGTGTCGTAAAAGGAACCAGTCCCAGGAACATCACGTTCATGATTGCCACTGTAAGAAGTAGTACTCCAAGTGAGTGTGAAGTAATCCAAAAAACACAAATATTGCATGCAGATTGTAACTAAACACACCTTGCAATCATATAAGGCACTCTTGATGCTATGGGTTCCACTTGTGAGGTAAATTGGTCCCACTGGGAGATATATCCGTTGGCATAAGTGATGTCTCCAATGTGGAAAACTATATCAATGTTGTCTAAGTCTTTGATGAGTTGATCTGTGGTATTCAGAGAGCCTGGCTGATAATTATTATACTCATTGGATCCATCACGCTCAGCCTGAAATATTTTTGTTGAGTGGATATAGATTAAGAACACTGCACTAAGTAGTTTTCATCAATAAGAAAGAGAAGAAGATCACTTGAAACATATAAGCAATTACAATTGTTACCTTTCCCATGTCGCCGAATATTATAACACGTTGCAATGAGTCCTGTCCTGGAGATGGGAAAGACTTGAATTGGTATGTTTTACTCCAGACATATGAGCCATTGAACAATCTATGGCCTAACTTGTAAGTGTACCTGAAATGACAAGAATCATCAAATTTTTCAAAAAGTTGATCATTTTTTATGCCCTTTTGTTTTAGGCGTAAAATCAAATGGTTAATGTGCATACAATGAGTTTGGCCATAAATCTTTCAAGAAACTGGTATGGAAAAAACCAGGATGACGCCATCCAACAGTTCGTGCTGGTGGACCTGCGCATGTGCAAGAACAATTGGTTATTTACAATGCACATTGGGAACATTAACTCCATGTTATAGGTCTTGTTTGATGACTTATGAAAACCAAAAAAGGGATTTCATAGCCAAAAATATGTTAGCCGTGTGGAGTGTTTGGATTCTCTTCTGATTTTCCTTTTCAGTACTTTCCAGATGCTAATAAAGTTCTAGGATTTTATGAAAAGTCTTCAAATTGAGCCAGTGGAAGATAAATGACGAGATAAAGTCTCAAGTCTGGAGTGCCTAAAAAGAGGTCCCACCTAACATGTAGGGTCCACTAAATTTTTCCTCCACTTCTCTCTCTACATGGATCATCCTTCTCTGTACTCGAAGAGAATCCTCTCCTCCTTTCATTAACTATAGAAGGTTTGAGAATTTTCCCAATTTAAGGCTTAAGGCTTAAAAGTGATGGTCATTTTGAGAAAATTTTGAGGGTTTTGTTAATTTGAACAATCCAAATCCATGTGGAGAACCATGGGAAACTACACATACCACACATACTGCCTCTATTAAAAGTCAAGGTTGAAGCTGGTGATTGCGTTTGTGATGCTCCCTTAAGGCCCCACTCCACAAAAGGCACAGCTTCGTCAATGTTATAGCCGCTTGTCCACGTAACTGTCATCTACAATTATGCATCTTTCTTATCAGAAACCCATATTAAGGAACAAGCTTAGTTAGTTCCTGAATAAAAATCCAAGAGATCGGTGCCACAATCTCTGCATAAGTCATATAGCTGCTACTTTGAACTTCCTAAGAGAATTCTAGAAAATTTGAACCTTTAACTAACTCAAAATAACATCTTTTTGAGAGTAGTTTAGCATAATGATATATTATTGATGTGCAGAAACTTACTTCGTCCCAAGCTTTACCCTGAGAAAGGCGTGGATAGAGTGGAGCCTTTGGATTCACAAAGGTGATTGTATTTGAAATTGCCACCAACTTTGGCTGCATTTAACACATTTTTCATTAATATCTTCAAAATTTTGTTATGTAAACGAAGGAATGCCACAAAACAGATGAACACACATTTGACAATCCTCCTGAGAATAATGCAAATGAGAAATCTGATCGCTGATTGATCAGCAGAAATCTGAGAGATGCTTGGCCTGTCTTGGTGTAGTCCTCATTGGATTCGTTGGCGAACTTATACTGCAAAATTGAGAATAAACAGAAAGACAAGTTTGAGTTTTTCAAGTTGTTGAACTGTTTCACTTTGTGCCCGTTTGAATTAGCTCAAAAACGGCACTTCTGCTCTGTACCAGTTAAATATGTGCCAAGACTTTTGACACATAGAAGAAGAGAAAAATGATTATTTTAAGAGGTACCGAAATCAGAACATGACGTTGTTACCTTTATAGGAGCGGAGCATATAAAGGGTGCCACTTGTCTTGAGTTTTCTGACTTATCATCATCTGGACAAAATGATGAGCTGCCCATTTCACAAAGAACCAAACCCATTTACATTCCCAAAACTCTGAGATAATTCCAATTAAGAAAAACCGAATCAAACAGACATTACTTGAAATTTGCTGGAGAAAACACAGCAACCCAGTCATCTTCACTGGGACTAGGACTCTGAAGTTCCACAGTGATCCACTCAGAATCCTTCCCCTGCATTTTTACAGCAACAACACAGAAACTTGCCCAGCATCATTATCATCTCCTTCATCAATCCAAACTTGTAAGTTTCAGAACAGTAACAGATTTATTTGTGCTAAATCATGGTTTCAAATCAAGTTTCAATGGTAAGGATGGAGAAGTGACCTTGATGCCTAGGAGAAGAGGATGGGCTTTAATGGAGGCATTATGGTGAAGCTCAAAAGTGGCTCTG